CTAGTTTTGTTCACCTAACAATTTCATTTCCCAAATTGTGATCTTTCATTCAGCTTTTCGACTAACTATTATCTGTTCCGGTAATCACGGATAGTGGCTAGGAGTGGAATCCAGGATGCGCATTTCGTCCTATTTGGGACTGGTCAGCTGGATGTGTGTGATGTTGTTCCCACCAGGATTCGGACTCGGGAGCGATCACTTCAAACGCTAGAGCGTTATCAACGACGGTAAAATACAAGGAATTATACTAAAACTATACCCGTCAAACAAGAAGTGGTTGTTGTGGATCGATCGTCTAGTGGATAACGTCCTGGCGTTTGAAGTGAGCGGCGTCGAGTACGAATCCCGGTGGGGACCGATCAATCTGGTCCAATCAACGACGGTATAATACAAGCAATTATATTATCATCTGTTCTGTTCAAAATTACCTACTTCATTCACAGTCTTTTAACTCTTCACTATGCATTTATTCGCCGCCTACAACTTATTCTTACTTCTATTTGACCAGTCTAAATTATTCACTCTGTGTTGCCATGCCTTATTCACCGTTTTAGTCGATATTACGTGTGCTTGTGTGTATTCCTTCATTGCACAACAGTAGATAAATTCATGTATGCACAGTAAAAAGCTGACAAGTTCCACTAACATTTATGAGTTCAGTTAATCCTGCTTCATTTCACGTTTGCTGCTTATCTTTATTTGGTATCAGGGAACCGGTATCTTCAGAATCATAATATTTTCTTCGTCTACTAATCACATGCATATCAAAAAATCGGTTCGATAGACTAATCAGTCAAATAAACAATCTTCATCCGGTTTCAAACATGAACCTCAAACAATTTAAGTCAACTACCTTAAACTCCTGTCATCACTCCACCAAGAGGAAACTGATCACCAGAAGGTTGTTATCAAGGGGACAAAAATGTCATCTAAATGCCTCAAAAATAATGTTTTCATTTTGCTTCATGTTTCTAGTAACCTCCCATGTATCAGTATACCTATGTTTTCAAGTTGTGTTTCATGCAATGAAATAAAAGTAATTTTTCAGAAGAAACAGTTCAGAAAGGCACAAGGGGGCAAGCAGAGCAGAAGTTGTTTGAAATCCTCAGACAGTTGAAAAATGAGTCGATCATTAGTAGTGGTCTGTTCGAACACTAGAAGCCATCCGACTTCACGATGATCTCACGACATTTAATGATTTCTTATAGGTACACAAGAAAGACATTCTTCTCTACACATTATTGGATATTACTATTACTAAGTGACAAACTGAAATTTTTCAACCAGTCAGAAATCAGAATAATAGATATACTTCATTCGATTTTGTTAATCCAACAACCGATGCCAGTATATGTGGATGACGAATGTTCTATTTTGATGTCACTTCAATTTTCATAAACATTCCACTCACAGAGAGCATTTATCTCCTGTGTAACTACTTCAAAACTAATAATCTGCAGTCAGTATTCCAATTTATAATCTAGAAGAATTACTTGTACGACGTACTTTCAGTGTGTTATTCAAGCTCAATAGCAAATCTTAGCTACAAAATGATGGGGAAGTAGTGGGGTCACCGCTACGTTGTTTAATCGTCAATTTGGAAAACGCAGTACTGTGTCCACTTATTGATCACTTCTGTCTCAATAGAAGATACGTAAATGATAATCTCATCATCTGCGATGAGAATACTGATGTTGATGCCACTCTTCTGAAATTCAGTGAGTATAATCCCTCGATCAGACTCTCAATGGAATTTGATAACAACTCAGAATTTCATTTTCCTGATATTTCGTTGATGGATGAAAACTAATGGTTTTCTAGGAAGTCAATCTACACGAAATCGACATAGAATCGACAGTATACACATTTACAAAGTTGGGTATTATTGAGCCGATAAAGGGACCTAGTTCATTCACTTTCCACAGAAAACAGAATTAACGAGGTAATCGAATACCTTGTACAAGTACTTCTTCACAACAGCTAATGAACAGTTAATGATTAGTATGTTCGCAAACACCTCTTCCAGGTAGCAGTTGTTTTCTAAGAACGAGTATGTATCTATACATCCTAAAATGAAGTGAACTACAGCTTCCTGGTTGGTTTCATATACCCGAGTGCATTTTCCTTCTTCACAGAAACTCACGTGGAAAATTGGAACAGGTTTCCACAACATGTTTCTGATATTTGTCCCATTTCATCATTTTCTAGATCAATACGCCCACTTTATAACTTTAAAGTTACTTCTGCAAGTTGTAACAATGTGATTGTTTGGTCATAGTAGTCTGCATACTCGTTGTCTGTGGTCACTATTCCTTCGCTCATCTGAATACCTTCGAAGGAGTGCGTTGATCAGAGGCAGTCAGCCGAGAAAACGAATCAGCAGTTTATTGAGTGTGGCTGTCCTACGACTCACAATCTCGAAGACATGGTGTTTGTTACATGCAGCTATCAGTAATCAATCTCTGCTAATATTTGTTTGTCATCTTGTTATTACTCTCACGAATTTGAGAACACATTATGCTATAACGCAAAGATATTTGTACAATGGTGGATTGGTGAGCGATGAACAGATTGATTAATTTCCTCTAGTATAATCAATTTATGTTTATATCACGCGATCGTGTCAACCTGTCCTTCTAAGGTGTTGACTGCCACAAAGTGAAAGAGAGAGAGAGATGGAGTGTCAGAGAGAGGAATGAGGAATTCAAGGAACACCTCTTACATAGTGAAAACCGTATACACTTCCTCACTGTTGCTTTCAGTTTGCATCAGTCACTATTCTTCACCAGAACAATTTCCAAGACTGTACCATTTCACTTCCAGTGCCACTGACGGTGTTGTAGGCACACATACACCTCACAATTCAGAGTTTACACTCTCGCTAACTCTAATTATGCCCTCATATAAAGGTTGCCTGTTCAAGGCTAATCTCGTTTCATTGATCTCGAGATCACATTGTTGTCACTCGAAAGTTTCCATTTAGATCTGGATCCTCAAAAACATCACAGTACTCAAATTCACCTAATCCTATAGATAACCGTATGTGTAGAATGACACAAAGGTGCAACATGAAATTATACTTTGAAAATGTTGAAGATGATTCAACGTCTGTCAGTGAATTATCTCACCAGTGAGTGGAACACCTATCCTTCCCATTCACATTCCTGATGACCGTTGGCACACCCATCGAGTTGGTGTGCTTGAGTCAGTATAGACAGACTTACAGAGAAACAGGCAGGCAGGCAGGCAGACAGGCAGACAGGCAGACAAAGATACATCAATAGCTGACACAGGCTCAGCTTCGTCTTAGTCCACGATAACATGTCTGTTGGTCATATTGAACGAGAAGATATTGAATGACAAGTTGGTGAATGAAGTTAGATGGCAGAGTGTCATAATTGACTCGTTACTTCGAGATTATCATTGAGTCATCACCACTGGATAAATCTAAATGGAAACTGTCTCTCAAAGCCAATGTCAGTTCAACAATATATATATCACGCATCTGTTTAATAATCAGTATCGACTTCAATTATTTGTAGATTCTGTTGGAATACGAGAAGTTAGAATTGATATGTCTGATGGTTCATCCACCGAGTTATGAAAATTCACGACACGCTTGAAAATGTCTATGGTAGACAGAGTCTGTGATGACAACGACTTGTCATGAGTCCCACTCATCAGATTTTTAGTACGGCAAATGAAGTGATACATAGCTGTGCTCCACTCTCAGCTCACAAATAATGACAGAAGGCTCTCAAAATATTGTGTTGTCGGTTGGATAAGTCTGATGACATCGTCAGTGTCTTGATTTTCGTTGAATTCACAGCCTCACTCTACACCTTCCACTTCGAAGGAGTATGCAGTCTGTAGGAAACTACAGTAGGACAATGATGAACTGCTAAGCATTACTGTGTCAAATGATTCGCATCGAAGAATTGAATTACTACATTAATCTCGAGTGTGTCCTTCAGCGTAACTGCATGCAAATGACAATTTCGTCTTCATCTGTAGTACATCTCTCACTTCACGTAGTGCAATCGCTATCATTCTATACTTCACCACATTTCTTCTCATTTCATTAATGTGGCTAGCTATCTTTCTACTCAGTTACGTTTTCCATGCTTTCATTTCCGTACTGCTCCCCATTACCAAGTAGAACTCACCGTGTTATCAACAGATAGTTGTGCTTCACATTTCTTCGAGCATTAATACAACTCTATACGACTACTACTACTACTACTACTACTACTACTACCATTCCGAGCTCGTTTCATTGTAATGCAGTGTTTGGAATTCTTGGTCTCCAGCCACCTATCATTCACGTCAACTGACTGCACAAGTTGCACATCAAAACATCTTGACCTCAGTTCATCTCCAACACCTTGTGCTATCAAACGCATTGGAACAGTTTTCATTCTAAACACCAGTGAACTGACCAACAGAGTCAGGTGGTGTTGATTCGTTTTCACATGCACTTCGTTCCCTACGCCACTGCATGTGTCCTCGACAGTGCTTCACAGATTCATACAACTCGCGATCACATGCATCATTGTACTTTGTACTTGTTGCCATCATTCATATAGAAGTACTGCATCTCTCGAGAAATTTAATCTTATTCAATCAGGGAATTGGCGTATCACTCGTGCATTCCGATTTCAAATTATCAGATACATTCTACAGTAACTCATTTGCAAATATGTTCATTTATCTGGAAACCCTCTACATACCATGTGGACATACTGAAATGCTGGAAACTTCAATGTCCTGTAGTCAGATTTATTCAATGATATTGTTTGTGAGACGAGTTAATTATTAGCCGGTTGACTTGAAATCACCGTTATGGCTATTCTCATCAGTAATATGGACATCAGTTCCACGCTTGTTGTTGTTGTTGTTGTTGTGGTGGTGGTGGTGGTGGTGCTAGTTTACCACATGAGAAACCAGGTGGATGATTGACCCCTTAGTACCATTGAGTCACTGACTGACCACAATCACATAAAATCAATCAGTATATTGAACAATGAAAACTGTCAAACAATTGTTGTGGAAAACAGACTTAAGACTTGGTAATAAACAGGTTCAGAATAAAGTTCAAATTGTCATTATCAAGTGTACAGATTCATTTTCATCACCTCACCTGAATCACTTTATATTTCGTTGTACATTTGTCGACTCAGCATTTGCGTGAGTACCACTGCGATGACAATTCCACATCTCAATCTCTTCAGAATCATTATCAGTGATGAAATGTTGTTGCGAGTCAGTCTGTGCTTGATGATGATCTCGCTGACATTCTCGTCTCATTGTTACCGCCACTGCAGTCGACAAGTTCCTCTTCATAGTCTCATCACTCATCAATCCGATTTTGGTGTGCATTGCAACCAGCAATGCTATGAGAATGATTGCGAAAAAATTGGCCAACATGTGATAGGCGAATAAGTTTGTGGCAGCTGGTATACTCTCTGTAGCAGTCTGATCCCATGTAGGCATCCATGAAAATTTCGGGTAGAGAATTGCTCCAACCTAGAACAACGATGATAGGAATAAGAAGAGGGAGAATGTTAACCAGAGTCACGAACAGATACTGCACAGCTTGTTGACAACTGATATGCAACATTGAATAAATTTATGACTGTCATGGTAATCACTACATCGGTATCTGTAGAGGCTGACAGACATTCTGGATGACTATCCGACTGACCAGATGAGATAATGTAGTGTCTGAGACAACAAGTCACTGATTGTCTGGGGTCGATGAAGCGTTAGGCGCCATATATTATCAACACAATACACAAAGCAGAAACAAAACATTGACGAAATGCAGAAGTCGAAGCACTCACGGACAGAAGAAATCAGTCCAGATTGTCGTAGTCTGATTTCCTTATCTAATTCTGAGAAGTGGAAGAATATTGTCATCTGTTGGTTTAAATACGTCGAATAACAGTGTCTCCACCCTCTGATCGAAAATGAGAATTGAGAGAATGTGAGTCCCTAGAATGCATCTTGATTTGTATCAATCACTCGACAATAACTACCATGTGAGTTTGACTGCATAATGAACGCCTATGCAGCAACCTGGAATTCATGGCAGAGATGCAATCTAAAGTAACTGATTTGAGAGACTGATGACTGTGGTCACTAGATCAGACTGAATCTTATCGAGTAATCGAGAATCTTAGATGTGAAGGCTGTTCTACTATGATGTATATTAACATTGACCATATTATTTATTGTATATCGTCACTTTTAGCCAATGGTCTACTCGATGCATGCAACTTCCACATTTCCCACTCGTTGGATACACCACACATGAATAATATTCCAGAGGTACTTGTCATCAATTATTTGTAAGCACCGCAGCTTTCACCACGAGGACCTGCCTTGTTTGCAAGCAGGTACTGCTACTCCTTGTAACTGACTGCAGACATGCGAGCGGGAGTCTGTTTCTGGCGTCAAGTATCCTATTGGTGGTGAGTGTCACCACACGTCTTCAACTAGCTGTAACCAGTATCCTACAAGGTAAATAAGGATTACAGGGATATACAGTCTGCCATAATGTTTCATCCATGAAGATATAGTCTCTGTGTTCTGTACACATTCTTGTTCCCTACTTTCTGATCTTAGTGAATGACTAGTAAGTGTCTTTCAGCGAGAAATTGCACAATGTCTACGCAGACTATAATGCACGTTGTTTGCTTAGTACAAATGAGATGGAAGAAGCAGATACCTCTACAATTCACCTGATGCTGTTTACACTCATCAAAATCATCACCGGGAAGGATCCTGTCTTAGTTTATTCACTCTCTGTCTTTTTATCGTGAGAATCAGGAATTATAAAACACTTGCATCGTTGTCTCCTCTCCTCCTCTAGAAATCTCAGTCTACGTTCACTGTGCTCCATAGTCGCCTAAAATTGAATGAATAGAAAAGTGAACCTGACATCATAGATCTGGTTCCAAGATGTCACAAAATATTCAAAAGCGATAAGTTGAAATTGACATCTTACTTGCCAAAGCCACGTCCCTTGCATCAGAAAAGTCCAACAACGCACTAAACCATAGATAGATTCATGAGGAATCAATAGTTCAAAAATCAACATCACAATAGCCACCAGCATCATTCCAACCAGTAATAGATGAAGGTGAGTATCCAATGGACTTCTTCCATGTAGGTGAAATAGGAATAGAAATAATTCTCCGAATAAGGCTAACATTGTGAAAAGATGCTCACATTGTCTACAAAGAATATAAAACAGAGTTAAGAGGAGTGACAATAATGCAAAATATATTAGAGTAGAAATTGACTACACCTGTTAGACAAGCCTGGTCAGAGAACAAATCAGACTATGCAAAACCTTGACAGGGTGGGGAATTCGAATGGTAGATACCTCAGTAAAAATAGCTGCTCAGCATCAATATGCAAAGTAATCACTGAGGTTTGCTCAGCAATGTTTAATGTTGATAATGCTATTACAATCTACTTCTTCAAAACATAAGCCTTTCAAATCAGAAATCCTTAAACATTTCACTACAATGCAGGATTCAAATTTTGTGAAGGAATATCAACAAGATGGAAGAGGAAAGATCATTTCCAATAGATCCACTTCTAAAAAATTCTCTAAAATTTACTAAATTCAAATACGTTTCTAAACCTTAATCTAAAAACCACAAGCAAAGTAAATGACATTAGAAGATGCATTCTGTGAAACAGCAAACCAGATAGATACATTGAATTCATCATCTAAGTTCAATAAACTGCGGAGCTAGTTTGCGTTATAGACCGTCTTCTTATCATTTCACAAGACTCTCAAGTCAATCAAACTGATGTGCTCTAGTCGAGCGCGTAAATAAACAGTCAAAATGTGAGTAGCGTCACCTATTCCCTACTTCTAAAACAGCTTTCATAACCAGTGAACTAACACTGCTTCACGTAAATCACATCCATTCTAGTGCATATCATGCAGATGCTCACTTGCACTGACGCAAATATACGATATTCAAGAATAAATAATCAGCAAACAGGAATTTACGAGATTTGATGCAATTAGGGTTTAAGAGGTGTGAAATCGATCAATGAAAAATGAAATGAAGATATCAATAAGTATGTGCTAGTCGGTCATTGCAAGGAAGCATCGGCTAACACTCTCCTTAGTCGACTATCTTGTTATAAAGAATTCACTCTCTGTATGTGTGTGTCTAGTCAGTCAGCCAGTCAGCCAATCAAGCAGTCGATCACACAGTCACGCAGTCAGTCAGGCAGTCAGACAACTGATAGATCAATAACCCACTGTTTAATACTTCACATCAGCATATACAATGGAGTTCAATAACGTAATAACAATATTTTACCACACAAAAAAAGTAACATGAGAAACTTTACTTATGATTCGTAACAATGCTGGAATTAGGGTCTCTTCTAAACTTACTATTTCACTCAAACATTAGCCTCGTCGGCTTAAGGATGTGACAGATCGAATTCAGCAAAATAATTCGATCTACCGAAATCCATGAAGTAACATTGACCTCATGTATATAGATCGAACGAACTGATCGGAATCACTCAGATTAGTGGAAAATAGGAATTCACCTATATATATAGAGAGAATGACAGATCCCAATAAGATGAGTCAGTAATCTAGAAAAACACTCAGCTATTGCAATGCATGTGTTAGCACACAACTAAACCACACGATAGGGTGAGAGATAAAGCCACTGTACTTAAGTCAAGCATAATTAGGCGGAGTGAGAGGAAGATTGATTACTGAATCTTTGTTCACCAAATCAACACCCAACACATCTTACACGAATGATTCAACACTTACTTATACGAGAAATATGGAAAATTTTACTTTCTAATAAAAACGAAGCATATGAGGTAACAGGGTTGTAAAAGTCAAATGTCCAAAGTGATGCAATTACACCGATATGATTATGAGCATTAATTTGTGCTGGAAATGTCATCAAATAAGTAATCCTGTATCACTGTGTGTTATAAATCAAATCAACAAATCTAATATGGAATAATATTGTAAAAGAGTGTCCAAGATTTACACTCAGTAATCAACAAAGTTCAACGTGGTGTCAGTTTGTATGTATTCACCCCTTCAAATGTTCGAGTGTAGCCATCAACCTGTTGCTCTGGTCAACTCAAATACCAGCTCTTTTATCATACTTTACAGTGTAGGCTTCCCCAGATGAATTAAGACAACAGACACTATATAATTTCATGCAAATTTATTTGTTTGATTCCTCCCTCAATTATTACCAACATTGTGATATGATGTGATGTGATGTAATGCACAAATGGAGACAGAAGACAACCAATCACACAACCTCGAAGTGACAGAATTTGTTTACTGAATCACACAGCATTAGTATCCATCCTACACAAAGAAACATCAACCAGAAACATCATCCTACCGCCTTCCACTTTGATTCCGAGCTAGACACCACTCATTAACAAGGCATATCTGCAGCTTGATGGATTCGGCGTTCATAGTCAATTAATAAAGACTTCCAACACGTGTGTACGCCTGATAACATCTTCAAACTACTCCTCACATGTTGTAAATCTACTCAATCTAAACTAGGCTTTCGATCAAACCGTTCATTTGAGATACAGCATTATTTACTACATGATAGATATTTCGACCAGAATTCACTGCTCACAATATGAAGGCAGTCAGTCAGTCAGTCAAAATTCAGTCTTCATTTGTGTAGTGTGACAACGACTACCATCAAGTTTGTGTGAGTGAAGTAATCTGTGGATATGTTGTGAGTGAAACACAGGAAGAGAGTCATCCACATACTTCCATTTTACTCCTTGAAAAGAGGTGAGATTTGAAATGTCCACAGTGCATTCCGTTCCTAACTGTTCTTATGAATATGTCTCCTACAATCGTGGAATTTTGAGATTCGTCGTTGCTGCACCTATTTGTTTGTACATTTTAGCTTGAAATTGAAGGACTACGGAATATATATAAGCATTATTGTACACCTAGTAGGATTACCTCAACCACCACTCAACTTCTGTTACTGAGCCTATGCTCAGTGGTGTCTTGCCTGTTGGCGGTCACTTTCTTCGTGGAACCCAACACTAGTCAATTAGTCACAGAATAGCACTTAGTCAACACCTTGAGTGCACATATTACAGACGAGCATGAAATATCGACTTCTGGATTCATAAGTAAATCAACCGGAGGCAAAACAATTACAATCTGTTTGTCTGAATTTCCATGTGCATCAATCATTTCGTAATATATTAATCTGTAAAGTAGTGTTCAATAAACAATGAGCAATATTGATTATCGAATGCACCAGTAATACATTTACTTACATTGGAATTTTGATGAATCCATAGAATATACACAGTTCAATGAAACCACTCAGTGCAAACAATGAAAACATACTGGAATGTTGTGCGGTGGCGATGTTGACGAAAACCCAGTCGTCATTGAAGCCCGAAATAACTTCAAATATCATCCCAATGATGCCGCTGATCAACTTAGCAGATGAGTCAACTGA